CTCTTGTTTTCACCGCTCCAATTGGTCTCTGCAGTTTTCTAACACAGAAGTAATTTGACCTACAGTATTTTAGATGAATATTGCGATTTAAAATGTGCAAAATATAACATCATGATCCACAGGTGTCAGAAATGATGACTATAGGGCAGACACAAGTGCAGTGGGCCTCATTCAGGAATCTTTTCTTATAAAATGTTCGTAACTTCCACTTTAAAAAGATGGTAAGAGAACTCTGACTTTCTTTTGCGGCTAACTGCTCCTGGATTCTTGTCGCCATTGCAACAAACTTTGTGCGAACTGCGAGGAAGATATAGGTCAAAAAAAGCCGCTAAGAACTGTTGCGTTGGTGGAGTAAACAGCGTCTGTGCGGCTTGCGTCTGTGGACTGCGTGACAGGCGTACGTAAACCACGTACCGGCGGCGCAGGCAAGTCAGTTACGCTAGAAACGTAGTTGGAGTTTTTAAATGACAGTTGTGCCGAGTTGCGCCGAATTCACCAACACCAGCTGCGAACACCTTTACGCTCATTTAGATTTCATTAAGATAGAAAGTGAATATGTATTTGGTTAGAAACGGAACTTATATGACCAAAGTGGGTTTGGTATTATGACAAGTGAAAGTGCGAGGGAGAGAGTGAACGAGAAGGCCAGGTGGAGCGTGTCTACAAACTAAGGCTTACAAACATTTATGGAATTCACAAAACTTTTTCTTAACTGAAAATATTCTTCTGGAAGAACAAATCCTACGAACAGTCAGGAACACTCGTAAGAACAAAAAATCTACTGTTTTAGAATATTATTACTCTGATACTGCAACAGAAAATTCTAATTCCTCCATGACTGTGAGTTTGAGAAATAATTTTCTAAAAACATTTTACAATGTGATCCAATAACATTTGTGAGGGTTAGGGTCTTATGCACCCCTAGCCCAGCCCCCCTCCCTCGCTATTTTCTGCAGGCCCGCACTCATGAAACATGCGATTAATACGATGAGAGCAGCAGTTTATTTCAATAAGTTTATGACTTAGATCTTCCCTCCCTGAGTGTGTTCATGTGAGTTTGGAGATTTGAAATCGCTGCTGAAGCTGTATAACAGACATAGTCCACGTGACTTCCTCATCACTCTCTCCCTCGCACGTTCATGTGTCATAACACCAAACCCATATTGGACATATTTGGAGGGCGCCGGTGTCGGCGGCAAGGTGGGGCATTTGAGGGCCGTGCCCCCCTAGCGGCCACTAGTGCCCCACCCCCAGCACAGGCCGTTATTATTACTGTTTTAAAATGATTTTGATTGACGCATTTCACTTCGGGCTGAGGGCACAAACTTTACTGTGACATCAATGACATCACAGTCTCTGTTTATTTAGTGTAGTGTGATTGGACAACTGTCCTGTCACTCACGTCACGTCACGTCAACCTGCTGCGTCAACGCATAGCAGCTTCACGATTAGCGGCAGCAGCGACTTTAGCCTGAAGCTCCACACAGGAAATGGCGAGAACAGAGTCAAAGACACTGACAGACCCGCCGCCGGGACGCTGCAGGGGCCGGTACATTCTCTGCCGGAACCCGAGACAGTCGCTGCAGGGACTGGGGCAGTTGCCACCGGGCCGGAGCTCTCGCTGCCGCCGCCGGGGCCAGGGCAGTCGCTCGCTGCTCTATCCGCCTTTGCCCGCTCGTTTCTGGGTGTAAAAGTTTGACCTGAGCGTAGCGCAGAGGCATAATTCTACCTGGTGTCCTGGTGCTGATATGGACTGACCGTAACTTTCAGATTTAAGTGGGAAGTGGGATTAAGACTCATTTTACAACCGCTCGTGCACTCGGCTCCTGGACCTCGCGTCACGGACCAGACTGGACCAGGATTTGGACCAGTTTCATCTCTTCATATTGGACAATAGACTTTTGGAGACAGAACCAGTGGGACAGTGGACAGAGGAAACACTCTGCTTCAGTCTCTGGAGAAGGTAAGAGGCTGGTTTTCATTAGTTTGCGGCAAATCTGAACATGGAGCCTCACAGGTAAATAGTGTTATAGTGTTAATAGTTAAATAGTGTTATAGTGTTAATGGTTAAATAGTTAAATAGTGTTAATAGTTAAATAGTGTTATAGTGTTAATAGTTAAATAGTGTTATAGTGTTAATGGTTAAATAGTGTTATAGTAGTTAATAGTTAAATAGTTAAATAGTGTTAATAGTTAAATAGTGTTATAGTGTTAATAGTTAAATAGTGTTATAGTGTTAATAGGTAAATAGTGCGTAAATGAGCTCGTGGGTGTGTTGGAGCTGCTCTGGTTGTTCTGTCGTGTGCTGTAGGAGCGGCATCTGTGTTCATGTTGTGATCGGAGCCTCTTCTTGTAGTTTTGTTGACGTTGTTGGGTCTGGGTGTGAGCGGTGTGTTACGTTGTGTTGTTGCGTAAAGTTTGCGCTTGGCTGTTCATTGTGCTCTGACCGATATTGTTCAGCCAATAGTAACCAAGATGTCTGTTTCTGGTGTTTGCTATAATACTTATATATATATATATATATATATATATATATATATATATATATATATATATATATATATATATATATATATATATAAATGTGTTTCTCACCTTCCACGGTGGTAGGTCTTCTCACCCTCATTGAGCTCGGGTCCTCTACCAGAGGCTGGGAGCTTGAGAGTTCTGCGCAGTATCTTTGCTGTTCCCAGTACTGCACTTTTCTGGACTGAGATGTCCGTTGTTTTTCCCGGTATCTGTTGTAGCCACTCTTCAGTTTGGGGTTACAGCCCGAGTGCTCCGATCACCACAGGCACCACTGATGCCTTTACTTTCCAGGCTGTATGCATATATTATTCATAATATATATTTATAATTTTGGCCTTGGTGCCCCTCCCAAAAATTATACCACCAGCCGCCACTGGTCCTTGTTTTAGTCCTGGTTTAGTCCTGGTTTAGTCCCGGTCCCTCAAGTCTCAGGTCTCTAGGACAGGACTGGATGCCGTACCCTCGCGTACCACGCCCACTACAGACCTGGTGCTGCCCGATGCGTGGCTATTTCCTGCCCGGTTGCTTCTTTCATTGATGTTGTTCAGGCGTTGACGAGGCTGTTATTTAATGTTTACAACCAGTGGCAGGCCTTATTGTTTTTTTTTGTTTAAAAAAAAATAAATTTCCTTTTATTATTGTCTTGTGTGCGTATCGTCTACCACACAGCCTCAACAACTATTGCAGCTAATAATAATAATTTTAACACAATTATGATAATAATAACAACAAATAATTAGCCTAATACTGTTTAAGAAAAACGTGTTTGATAGCATGTCTGCTGTGTATGACTCCACCGCTTTAAAATATTTGTCAAACGGCAGTGCCCCCCCTGCTGGTGACCCACGCCCCTCTAGTAGATGTGCTCTGACGCCGACTCTGGAGGGCGCTCAGAGGGCTCTTATAACCAAATACATATTCATTTTTTTACGTAAATGAAATGTAAATGAGCGTAGAGGTGTTTATAGCTGGTGTTGGTGAATATGGCGCAACTGTAACTTAAGGAATCTGGGTGTTTAAGAACGCTTAGTGAATCTGGCGCAGCGTTCTCTCTCGAACTTATGAAAATGATTTAAGAAAACATTCATGAATGAGGCCTAATGATAAAGTGTTTTATCATCCGAGAATCCGAGACTTTTTTTTTTTTTACATTGTACTTTGCCATGGACTCTCCAAAAAGTAAACTGACAAATGTTGAAGTTGAAGCAGATCATTTCTGCCAGTGATTAGACAACAGAAAAGTTACATAGTCCTGCTTTAAGAGAATGCTAAAAGAAAAAAACAAAAAAAACAAAACAAAACATAAAGGAATAGATTAAAACACAAACAAATAACCTGATCCAGTTTTCTTTTATGTGGTAAATTGTTTGAGTTATTTGTAACCAAACATTCTAGTCCCAGCCAAGATTATTTTGGCAAGAGCAAAAGTACAAGTACCACTGCAAAACAGGATTCCAGTTTTTCTCAGGTTCATAAACTTTTGTTCAAAACAGTTTTCAATGTCATGCACAAGGAAAGGTTTCGTCTAAAAAGCAAATACTTTCTTGTTTATTTTAAAGCTTTGCACCTTTATAAATTAAAATCACAGAAATGTTAGAGAAAGAAATAGTTCATATGGAATAACAGAGAGGTCTTTTCAACCTCTTTGAGTCACGGTTGAAAAGATTTTGCGGCACCCTATCTGCGAAAATTATTAAATCATAACTTTTGAAGGAATCATGCAAGACTTTGATTTGAAATTCCATAAACATGACCTCTCCGATCTGAGGTAGACGTGTTCAAATCAAGTTACAAGTAGTTAGACAAAACTTTTTTATGCTTTAATTTAGTGTTTTAGTCCCCAAAAAACAATTATCCAATCAGAAGTCACAGTGTCTCATTTGAGTTACTAGTTTAAAATGAAAAATGGTAAACTGTACTGTAAAAATATGGTTCATTTAAGAAAATGGTGACAAATATGTCTGAACAATTTGGAGAAAAACGTCTGATTGTAATGTTTTGACAAGCATTGTTTTCAAAAATTCAAATTTAAAAGGCTCCAGAAATATTGACAAAAACACTAAAATATGAAGCAATACAAGAATCACTTTTCAGAACATGTTTGTACAGATCTAAACTAGACGGTTAGCAGTTTTATAAAGAATTTGTTGTCTGTGGAGGAAATTATGGTACTTCAAAAACTGCATCACTGCATCTGTTCAAACTGCAATTTTGATTTGATTGTCATTAATCTTAGACCTCTAGCAAATGATGTCTAAGCCACTGTCTGATTCTTTAAATCTGGCAATGGTGAATATTCTTTGGTCCAGGACACTCCAAATGGTAAATTATTCAATTAAATCATGTGTGAATCCGTTAACTCATTTTTTTTTTTTTTTTTTTCAAAGAACATCTGGCAGTCCCTCAAGGCACTCTGGCGTTCCTGGCACACTGGTTAAAAATGAAGCTAATATAATTCTTTAGTCTCATACCTTTGTTGTCCCTCAGGGTGAAGTTGAGGTTGCTGGCGACAGGTGCGGCCAAAGAGAAGTAGAAGCGATGTCCAATCAGAGGTTCGTCCCTGTCCACCGCGCTGATGGTCTGGATCACCTGTAACCACGGAAACCAAACAACAAAAGTCAGTCAGATGAAACCACGTAAACCGAACAGCACGTGTGAATCATCTGTAACTATGAAAAACAAATTGTAAATGTCTGTTCACACCAGAGTGTCAAAAAACTCCCGAGATGCCTCTATTTGGACGTCTTTGCATTTGAGTTGAGACTTCCCCGACACGCATCTTTGATGCCGTGGACGAACGGGAGAAAAATACTTGACGCGTATCCGTTGCCCTGGAAACAAGTGCCCGGTCTCTTTCTTTTCCCGAAACGATGGGAGACCAGGCCGAGAGAGACTTTAGTGTTTTTATGACATAAAACAGCAGAGGAGATCGACTCGACAACTGCGGCCAATATATATACCTGTATACTCCACTAATGACACTGATTCAGTCCTTGTCTAGTCTCGGTCTAGTCCCGGTCTAGTCCCGTGTCTAGTCCCTGCCTAGTCCCGGTCTAGTCCGGTCTAGTCCTGGTTCGGTTCTGGTGTAGTACTCGCGATCGGCTTGGTGATTGTGGCGAATATATTTATGCTCCGCTATTGTTTGTGGCTCTCGCTCCGGTTCTCAGGTTTTTCTCTTCCTGATAATAACGTCGCTACGTGTCTGGATACTTGTCCCTGATTGGTTGACGCGGTCCATCTGATGCGAAAAGTTCAGCATTTTGAACTTCTGACGCTGACGCCTTGGACGCGCATCTAGAGCGTTGAGGCCAAAACGCTCAAGACACGCCAGATTCACACTGCGCTGATGCCCGAAGATGCGCAACAAAAATGCAGGACGCCCAAGACGCACGTCCACATAGACTTTACATAGAAACTGGTGTGAACCTCTCTTAAGAGTCAATCACCTGTAACCATGGAAATCAACAATAGAAGTCAATCAACTATAACCACAGAAAACAAACAGTACGTGTCAATCGCCTGTAACAATGGAAACCAAACAGCAAGAATCAATGATCCTGTAACCAAGGAAATTTAACAGAAACAGAAAATCACTTGTGACTATGGAAACCAAACAAGTGTCAGTCATATGTAACTATGGAAACTAAACATGTATCAATCAAGCATCTATAACCACAGAAAAGAGTCAATAACCTATGAACAACAGCAATACAAGAGTCAAAACATACAGCATGAGTCAAAAAAAAAGTATCAATCACTTGTAACCATGGAAACTAATAACCAGAATCCGTGTATCATTTGTTCATTCGTTTTTCAATCTAAAACCAAAAATAAGAAAACGAAAAAACAACAGTTTTCTTCATTATTTGTCTCCAAAACCAAAATGAAAAAACGGATAATGATTCGTTTTTTCAGATTTCAATTTTGTGTTTAAATGACGAAAGGAAAAAACAGATAACCCGTTTACATGAGTTCCGTGACTGCGATGCCGAACTTTTGCACCGCATACGGACTGAACCAGGACTGATCCAGGTCCGGGACCAGACCGAGACCAGACCGAGACCAGACCGGAGGCTCAGAGCCCACGGCAGGGCCGGAGCTCGAAGCTGATGCTCGGACGCTGTAGAGGTTGGGAGTCAAAGCTCGTGGTCCTGCTCTGGTCCCGTTGTGGTCCCGGTGTGGTCTTGGTCTCAGTCTGGTCTTGGTCTGGTCCTGATTCAAGTAAACGGTCCGTTATCCGTATTTTCCATTTTTCATTTAAACACAAAATCAAAAAATGAAAAAAAACTGAATCGTTATCTGTTTTTTCATTTTGGTTTTGGAGACAAATAATGAAGAAAATTAGTTTTTTAATTTTCTTATTTTTGGTTTTATATTGAAAAACGAATGAACGAATGATACACGGATTAACCTGTAACCACGGAAATCAAGAAACAAAAGTGTCAATCAGCCGTAACCATGAAATCTAAAAAAGAAGCCATCACTTGTAACAATGGAAAACAATAACCTGTAGCCTCGGAAATAAAAGAATAAAACTGTCAATCACCTGTAACCACGGTAACCAAACGTGGGTAAAACGAGTAGCTGGTACCGTTTGAACAAGCAACACCGGTAATGATGTTAAAATTGTTACAAAAGTGCATTTAATTTGACATTTGGCATTTTAGAACACATCAAAAAGCAGTGGAGGTGAAGCGTGCACGGTGATTTATGGAGAAAAATGACTTGGATAATGTTTGGCTGTAGTTTAATAGAATCTTGTATATTTGTGGGCAGTAAGTGCTGTTTTGGCAGGGGCTGGTCGCCTCTTGGGAACAGGTTGCTACTGGGAAATGTTCTCTCCAGCGGATTACTGTCAGAGGCCTTGTTTACATGACAACAAGTTTGGGATAAAATGGCGGAGTTTTGTTGCAAATTAAGTTCTGCAGAAGTTTCGAGTTGGATCCCGTACAAGAAAATAGTATAGGACAAGTATTCAAAGGGTTTTCTCGGGGTGTTCTGGTTTCTTGCTTCAAAGTAAAACACGCACAAAAGGCTAATCAAAAGCTGTAGGTAAAAGCCTGATTTCTCTCGGTCCGCCCACACAAGGAGGGGTCAAAAAAAGTTTTAACTACACAGTAACACAGCAGTCTCTATGCAAACTTGAACCAGATTTGGAATCGAAACACTCTATTTTTTCCTCCCCCAGGTGGCTATTGACCTGCCGCTAAACCCACTTTTCCCCGATACCAATGCAGAAACTGAAAGCAGCATTTATTTCCATTAAACTAAAGTAAACAAATAAATTAGTGTATTTATTTAATGAGACAGGGACAGTGCACAATATACATTAAAGGGACAGTCTGGAATTTTGGACATAGGACCTCATTTCCTAGTGAGCCAGAGTGTTGGAGGCGTGTGGAGACACTTTTTAAAATATTCCATCCAGTCCTTGTATTTGCAGAGGTCGCTGGTGCTAGGCTAGTGCATGTCAATGGCCACAGTTAGCCTGCCACTAAAAACAGTCTAAAAATCACTCCAGAAAATACCCAAGGCAAAACAATTATTATGCCAAACTGTCAATGTGAATGTCTGTGTTGATAGAATAATGTTTGAAGTAAAACTAACCTTGCATTGCATGAATCGTTGCATGTTGAGGGACTATTTTCTCATATATCAGTCCGCCGCTGTCAAGCTTTCTATCAGGAAGTACAATTCACTGCTGCTTCTCAGACATAAATCCTTTAAATGCAAGGTTGGGTTTACTTCTAAAATTATTCTATCGGACACAGACATTTACATTGACAATCTGGAGTTATAATAGTTTTGCTTCGGGTGTTTTGTGGAGTGGGTAAGACTGTTTTTAGTGGCAGGGATAACTATGGCCATTGACATGCACTAGCCTAGCACCAGCGACCTCTGCAAATACAAGGACTGGATGGAATATTTTAAAAAGTATCTCCACACGTCTCCAACACTTTGGCTCACTAAGAAATTAAGCCCTATGTCCAAAATTCTGGACTGTCCCTTAACCTTAACGGAAGACACCTGTAGTCCCTGAACAGGTTAATTTATTGATTGTATTTAATTGACCTTAGCTATCAGACATCAGCTACTCTTCCTGAAGACCTATGTAGCATCCTTTGGGTTGTAATAAATGAATAAACATCCAAATGTGTTAGTTGAGAGATAAATAATAGATACCTAACCACAAAACAACTCATGCATAAATAAAAGTTCACACATTATGAGACTTTCTGGGCCAGCGACAGTCAGTCTGCTTTAAAGAATAGACTTGAATGTGGCTCTGCTTGTCTACATGTTTCTCCGTGGCAAAGCATTAAGGTACATCTCCGGCATGTTAGTGCCATATGAACCATCTTGCACCCTGAGGACTTCAGGGACCGGCCTCCTGCTGGTGCCCAGAGTCAGGACCAGAGTCAGATTTATGCAACTAAAACCTGGAAACTGAACTCTGTGTAAATCCAGGCTCAAAATGCTTCTGTTAAGCTGCTCTTCCCTAACAGCTAATGTCTCTCTCTTTTTTTAATTTTATGATGATCATTTATGTTTTGATTTGTTTGTATTGCGTTTTAATGTATTTCTTATTCTGTAAAGCACTTTGAATTACGAATTGTGCTGTACAAATAGACTTGCCTTGCGTAATTACATCAATTTATTTGACCAAACAAGATAATGGCTGAACCGATATTTGCAAGCTGATAAACATTCCAGCAAATGTTTCAGTATCTACGTTAGATCGATGCATCTCTTTCTGTAATGATGGCAAAATAATTATACTAATACTTTATGCCCTTGTGCTTAATAAATAATAAAATAAACTTTGCATGTGGCCTAAATCAGGATTCAAACTAGTTCAAATTCAAAAGCAGAAGTAGTGTTGTCTGAGTGGTTGGCAATCACCCTGTACAGCAAGAAGCTTCGGGGTTCAAGTCCCGAGCCGCCCGGGTGGGTTTTCCAAGGGCACTCCAGTTTCCCCAACGCCCCAAAACATGTTTGGTTGCCAATTTAATCCTTTTTTGATTTCTAAGAACATTGTCACACCCATTAGCATGACCTTGAAGGCACTGTACCAGATTTGTACTGTTTTAAAAACATGAAAAACAGAACCAGTTGATTTTAACAAGTTTTTTAATTAGTTTGCAGTGGTCCAAAGTTATTCCTCATTTATCTTATCCATTGTGAACGTCCTTTTACACACCATGATGTTTTTATAAGTGCTTGCCACAACTTTCAGAGATCAGAGCGGAGTTTTGTCATGACTGTACAGCTAGCATGTTAATGTGCACTTCCTGTTTATCGGACAATAAAATTCTTTATAATTACACTACAAGTTAAAAGTTTGGGCTCATGCTTACTACTTTCTACATTTGATATACAAACAGAAGACATCAAATACAGTACATGAAGGAAGATGTATGGAATTATGTAGCAAAGGGGAAAAAATAGTTAAATAAAAATAGAACCAAATCCTAAAATTAATTATAGTTTGTGTTAGAAAAAAAAAAAAAAATTTAACTAAATAAGTCCATATATCTTACTTCATATATTTGATGTCTTCTGTGTGTTTATCAAATGTAGAAAATGGT